GTTAGCCCAAACATGAAGTGAAGTAATCTCGAAAATACCTTGCAAAAAGCTAGGATCAACTCGATGACCTTAGCTGCGTGCCACCGCTAAGGTTGTCCATCATCGTCTCTGGGGCTGGGTGAAAGCAGTAAGCAACATATCCCATTCTCAATGTGCTATTTTGATAAGAGATTAGTGATAGATACTTTAATGAAATTGGTTTGCTTTCTTAGCTTTACCAGGCGGCTACGCACGCTATTGCGTGCGCTGGGGCTCTAGCCATAAGGGACGGAGCCACACGAGCTTCTGATTTTCATTATAGACCTTTGCCATCTGAGCCTCTTCCCTAACACTTCTGTAGCGGCCATCATTATTTTTGGGGTGTGAAATGGGGCTGAGTGTGGGCTTGAAGAGTACTCCGATGTATCCAAACAAAATACCTCTGCAGTCCATGAAGTCGAAGAAACTCTGTGTAGTTTGGGCTGTGTGTGGCCATGAACACTAGCTTTGAAAGAAAAGCCCCTTCGGATATTTGTAGGAACTTACACGTTTCTACAGGGTATTCACCTGTTGGCTGGGGTCACTGAACGGCTTGTATCACAAGTTTCTTCGAGTCAGAGTGTATTTTCAGTGCCCACATTGGCTGTGAATTGTGTTCATATTGAATTTTATTGTAATGTCAGCAATAAAGTCTTTTTTTTCAAGTCGTTATGGTTTGACGAAGTATCGTACTGTTATTATCCGTTTTCTATCTAAACTGATGAATAGTCTATTGAATTTGCTTGCTCTAATGCTTTTAGACAAATTTCTGACGTCTTGGAGTTTTACTTGTGAATTTGCCGCTTGGTTTCTTCTTCTTGTTGTGCGAATATGACTGAATGACGCATCCCAATGGTGCGTCATTCTAGCCCCTGTACTGGTAGCTTGTATTCAGTTAATCCTATACAATTGCTCTGGAATTGAGCTGTATGTGGTATTTGGCTGGTTTCGATGCTGTTGGTCCTGGAGTAAGGAGTAAGAGGTTGAGATGTCAAAGGTCAAGCTGAAATGCTCGAACCAGCCACGCTACGGGGCTTTGTGTGGGCATCTGGCACGGTGGACAGGACTTGAGTCAGAAATTTATATCTTTTTAGAAATTCTTCGAAATCCGTGCAAGGTAAGCAGGCATTCAGAAGGTACTTGCTGGAAGCGTGGCGCCCCCTGAATGTCTTCTGGGATAGTTGAAGTATTTGAATGGGTATTAAACTTATACTTTGATTTATGAAGGTAATCCTTTCTAGGCAATCCTACCTCTATTGATCGATAGCAAAAGGTTGGCGTGCATGTGTGGGTCGGGAAGGGTTCAAAGTTCAAGGGTCAGGCCTGTTCAATCACCATCGATCAGCAGCCTGGCCGTTGCCATCGACAACGAAGGCTATTCCCCTATCCTCCTGGAAAACCAACCCTGAATGGGTCTTCTCATGCTTGACTCAGCTTGGAAAAGGGGTGGAGCAAGACTTGGGCTAAGTATTTGTTAGCTTTGAGACACGGAGGGTTGATTGACTAGAGCTGTACGGTCATCTGAGTTGCTCACCACCCATCCCGTGACCCCCCAATTCGATCGACATGGGCGGCCCAAAGCAAACCACTTCGATTGCATGTGGCTTTCCGGCCTGGGTGGCCTATGGATTTCCTATTCTTTTTTTTTCAGAACTTTCTCTTTGCCATTGCCTTTTCATTTTATTTCTCTTCATCGAACCCTTTCAATCACTTCACTAGTACAAATTTTCTTCTGTCAGGAAGCTGAATTAATCTTCTTATCGTTTGTCTATATCGCACTCGCATATTTTTGTGTTTTTTCAAATTTTATGAATTTCATTCTAGGACGAGCTCATCGATCTTGGGAGCTGAATGTGGGCTGCAAGTTCAAAACTCTGGAAGCTTGAAACCCACTCACCGATATAGCGAAGCCAGTGGAGAGTGCCAATGGTCACATCGAAGTAATTTGAAGGTCGAATCAGACTAGGTAAGCATTGGCTTGTGAAATACCGTTGCATATGCTCCTAAACATAGGTAATGCTCATTTTCCGTTGTGGGAAGGCATAGAATTCTCATCATGGTATGCTAGCAATTGTGAAACATGAAGTTGTTGTAGAGCGACATGCTTTTTTCTTTTACTAGTGAGACATAACGAATGTTCGTGCGCAATTGCATATGAAATATGCTGCGGCCGGAGAAGCTTCCCCCTCAATGATCGCACGCTTAGTATGTACGGCAACCATGGTGTTTTGCTCTGTTGTGGCGACTCTCCTATCATCGCAAGTTATGCTAAAAAAAGTCAGCAATCTACCTCTCCTTTTCGCAACTAGGATTATTGAAGGGCTCAATAATCACACATAGGATCATAAATTACCTAATCACTGTAGACGTAGGTATTACGAATTACTACGGAATTCAGGCTGAAGCAGGTCGTCACAGTTTCTTCAATTGGTCTCTCTTTGAATGCTGCGATAATGTTGCTTTATGCTGAATTGTTTTCTATGACAAGCTTTCGTCTCGGCTATTTTATAAAGATTTTATGTATACATATATGGATGATGGATGATATATTAGGATATCACCATGAAATTAGATGAGGGTAAAGAGGAAAGTCTGAGGCGTCAATCAATTCATTTATGGTGCAGCCCCCATTCATAGTGCAGCACACTTCCTGCTCCTCCCTCCCACCCCCCTACACCCAGCTTCCATCGAGTATCGTAATGGTGTATTGAGTAAGTTTGTGGCCTATACAATGATTTGCGGCGGTCACCCGATGTGCAATAGAATGCCTTTATACAACAGATCAGCCTAGTATCAAGTGACCGCTCCGGGGATGGAAGGCTCTGGGGATTATTCATAAGAGTTGCGGTTTCTATTTGGGTATTCATCAGGGATTCGAACAATACATGTGTGGTAGTGCATCTCTTGCAACTACACCACATCCGCTCTTAGATGGAGATATATTTTACAAGGAGAGTTACGTAATTGGAACCAGATGACCGATACCCTCTGAAAAAATTTTTTTGGATGTCCTCTTTAAATTTTTTTGTATGTTTTTCGGCAGATACTGAAAGACCCATTGTTTCTTCGTTCAATTTCGGCAGAGATGTCTTTCAGGACATTGATCAGAAACGTTTCTTCTTCATAAACTCGATCTCGTCGATCACTGAGCGTTTCTGAAAAACGGCAACAACGTCTATGTCGAGGTCAAGAACCTGTCAACTGAGGAATTGAGCCCCCTGAATAAACGATAAGTTGTGATCGTTACATGTCCTTAGGCGCCCAGTGCGATTTCGTTCCTGTAAAACTTTTGTAGAATGACGCTTCTGACTCATTTGTTCTTCGGTTCCTGAGCATATGCCGTAGCGTTCTCGACTTCTGGCCACTAAATTCTGGTCTCACTGTCTGTCTCACTATTTGAAGTTTGGATTAGATTCAAAATTTTTCAATTCAAAGTTTTCCAAAACCTCGGATAAACTTGTTCAGCTAAAAGCTTGCACCCATAGGTAGTCTTAACCCCATACGAATGTAGCGCTGAATATTTGCGTGAAACGTGATTCCACGCATTCAGGACACCTGGTAGCGTTCATGGGTTACCCATTAACTGTTGTGGCATGTCAAGTAAATTAGCAAGGAGGTGTATGTATTGGTTGCTGGTTCCCCGTACTGCCTATTTCACCCTTTCCAGTTGTCATATGTGAAGATTTGTGGGTTTAACGGAAGGTTCCAACACGGGTTTCGCTGACTTCACTGACAGCTTGTTTCTCTCTGCCGTCCTTCCCACCCTATCAGGATGCTACCTTCGCATCTCGCAAGTCGAATAGTTCCGATGTTCCAACGACGTTTTTCACAGGAACGGGGAAATTCGGGATTATTCCAGCCCTGTTTTGAGGAGTAGGAGTGTTTAAAATAACAGGGTTAAGTAAAGTAATAAATACGCTGTCTCTCGAAGGCAACATGTTTCTTCCAGCTACCTGTCGCACTCCTCTGACTCTACAGCCGCGCTTTGTTGGTTGAATAATCCTTAGGCGAGGTTTCGACGATATTTTTTCTCAGAGACAAAATTCCAGAACATTCCAGCCCAATTTTGGAAAGCGAGATTGTGAAGGATAAACGAGTCAAATGAATGAATGGCTGATTTTTAAAGACAGCTTGTTCTCTACTGGGCCCAGCCTCACCTTATCCGGAGAGGGT